GTGTATTAATTTATAGGATTGGTGGAGTTTACCGAATAAAATTGAATTAATATCAAAGTATTCACAAGTGCCATATTTTTCTATATGCTTTTCTAAAATTGATATGACGGAATCCTGGGTGAAACAATCCATTCTTCTAAAATATGATATATATCTATTAATAGAGTTTTGAGGATCATTTTCATTGGTTTCGAATTGATAAAGTGTTGGGTTGTCGAGTGCTCTTTCTAAGTTTTCGAAAAAATTTTTTTTTGGAATGTGTTTAACTGAAATATCTAAATCCTTTTTAACTAAAAACTTTCTTGAAATTTTTTTCATTAATTCTTCGAAATGGCCAATAACTTTGCTGTTGGTGTACACCCAAAGTGGATTATTGTCCCTAAAAAAATATTCTTGATGGTTGTTAAAAAAGAAGTCTAATATTTCAGTATTTGTAATTAATATTAGATATTTATCACAAAAATCTTTTTTGTGTAATCGATTGAACAGGATAACGATTGGTTCCAAATTATTGCTTGAAAAAATGGCATTTTCAAAACTTTCCGTCCATTCTAGTGAAAGTAAGTAAAATGACTTAACTAGACTAGTTTGATAATCAATGCATTCGCCACTTTTTATAACTGTGTATAGATCTGCCCAATCATAAGTTTTTTTTTTTGTAAAAATTTGGTCGGCTCTAGACTTTTCAACAAAGTATATATAATACATAATTGGTTTACGATTTGATTTTTTGAATTTTAATTTATATATTGAATATATTACTTTGAGAATCTGATGGATAATTGGTTTCAAAAATTGATCATTTGATTGTGATATTGTATCAATAGTTGAGTTTAGTTGAGTATTATTAAATTGTTTTATATTTAATGGCAGTTGATTTAGTTCTTGGACTATTTTATTGTATTTTTCTTTTGGTTGGTATTTTTGTTCCATAATAAACTTGTAAATTTTTATAAGCTCTTTTAATTTTTGTGAATATTCAATCTCTTCAATAATATCATATATTGTTATCCATTCATCAGTAACTTTAACTCCATATGATTCTAAAATAGGTTTCATCTTTAAAATTTTAAAACTTGTAATATAATCCTTTCCTTTATATAGTTCTACTGAGACTTCTCTTTTGTTTATTTCAAAAAGTTTAGCGTATTCAAGAAATGCGGTTTTATTCCCATAATATACAAATTCTTGTACCCAGAATGAATAATCGTTGAATAAATCTAAACTAGTTGTGTTTTGATTTTTTGTAAATAGTTGTCTATAAAATTCTCTGTTCTCTTTGGTATTTTTGTTGATTATTTCTATTATAATTTTTACACCATAATCTGAAATTACATAATCTCCACTTTTTACTTTATCTTTAATAATTTCATATCCATTACCATATTTATTTATTATATATGATACATTTTTTAAATCATCATAGTAGAATAAATTTTTAAAGTTGAAATTTGAAAATATTAATTTGAATAAAAGATTATTTCTAAATATCTTCCAAAATGCAACTTCACCGGTGCTAATATCTTTATTTGATGTGGATTCCAAACTGGGTGTATTCGTTGATGTATTTTGATTATCTGATTCATTACTTTGATTTTTTTCACATGATTTTAAATTATCATTATTATTATTATTATTATTATTATTATTATTATTATTATTATTATTATTATTTTTTTTATTTTTTTTATTTTTTTTTTTTCTTCTAAAACAATCCATGGTAATTTATATCGATTAAATATATATATATAGAAATAAAAAATGAAACTAATCAAATTTTTAAAAAAAAGAATAAATTAATAAATTAAAAAAAAATTAAAAAAAAAAAAAAAAAATTTGAATATGTAATATTAATATATATTTATTATTAAGTGTATTTATTAATTTATTTTAATAGCAGTTATATGATAAAGCTCTATTTTTAAACAAATAAAAAAAAAAAAAAAAATTTCTATATTTTTAATTTAATTTTTAATTATAATACGATGATTTATTTAATTTAATATAAAAAATAAATAAATTAAAAATAAATAATACAATGTCTATTCATAATTTTTTTCTTTTCAGCCCTTTTTTTAACGAGTTTTTCTATTTTTATAATGTGCGCTTTTTTTTTTTATTTTTTAACCCCAAATTATTTAAATACAAAATTTTCATATGATTTGTTGTCATCCCTTTTTTTTGAAGAAAATAATATTTTTAAATAAATACACATTAAAATTGTATATAAAAATATTTATATAAAAAATACCAATAGGTTTTCCCTCCAAATGCCTCAAGAGAATATCATATTAATAACACCTGAAATATTCATAAACTATAATATATAGATCTAAAATTTATTTTTTATATCAAAAAAATTCTAAATAAATAAACAAACAAAAAAACAAATAAACTAATAAATAAATAAGTAAAACAAATTAACAAATTAATCAATAAAAATAAAAATAAAAATAAAAATAAAAATAAAAATGAAAAAATAATCAATAGTCATTAACTATATAGTTTGTATAGTTTTTTATGTTTATTGAAATATTTAAATTTTGTAAAAAAAAGGAATTTTCTTTTGCTTGGCTGAGATCTATTATTAAAAATTTGTTTAATTTTTAGGACTATTGTAAAATTTTTTGATTAATATATTATATTTTTATTTAAAAATAAGTATTTTTAAATTTATACATACTCTTCTTTTTTTGTAATATCCTGGTCGTTATTATTACCAGTTGATGATGGTGATACTAGAATTGTTGGTTTGGGTGGCTTTAGTACTACTTCCTCATCCGGTGCATCAAACAGATCTATTATTGAAAAATTTTCAAGAGTAAGGGGAATTTTATAGTAATTTGATTATATTAATAGAAATAGTTTATTAAGTGATACCATAGTTTTTTGAATTATTACAATAAAAAAATAATAATTAATGTAGAATTTTTATTTTTTTTAGGATGAGAGAAATTACACATTGAATATTATAAAAATTAGTGGTAGTGGGTGTGAATCAAGTTTTTATTTTTATTGTTTTGTGTTTTAATATAAAAAATAATATGAACTTAAACACATTTGTGGGTAGAGGGGTAAATATATTGGGTTTGTACATAAAAAATGAATACATTATTTTAAAAAAATTATTTTTGATTGAATATAAATTTTTATACAAATTTCAATATGATATAAAAAAAAAAAAATTCTAAATTTTTAAGTTTAATACGATATAAGAAATTGGTATTTTAGGCAACATACTCCCATTTTACAACAAATATATTTTTAAATTATAACATGTTCATATTAAATTTATATCTAAAATAAAACTAAATAATGAATTAATTTTTTTTTTTTTATTAATATTAATTATAATTATAATTTTGAAGTGGTAATCTAAAATTATGTGATTGTTTATTCGTTCAAGAAAAAAAAAGTGATATGGAGAATGTTGTTATCTTTTTCAAAACAATAAAAAAAAAAAAAAATTATTAATAAAATATTTTTTTCTTTAAAAAAAAAAGTAAAAGCTTTTTTTAATATGGGTACAGTGAGTGTGTATTTTGATAAAAATTATATTTTTTTATACGAGCAAATAGTATCAGTATAAAATAAAAAAATATTTATTCAAACACACTTATCCGCTTTTTTTATCTTAATTTGATTGTTAATAAATGAAACAATATACAACGTTGTATCTTCATTCATTATAAATTTTTTCTTAATTTCCTTTTAATATTTGAAAAAATAAATAATGTTCTATTTTTTAAATTGTTCTATTTTTAACACTTAATACTCAACAAAATTCAATAGAAGCAATTAATATAACAAATTGAACGTCTTCTTAGCAAGATGGCATTTATCACAGTGTGTATGTATATTTTACATATATCTATTTGAAATGCCAATGTAAAATTAATAGATAATAACCAATATAATATTATTAATTTTGATAGTGAGTGTGTTGAGTGGGAAAGGTAGAGTGTTATCAAAACATTTTTTGTTAAATGTGTGAAATTTTAACCACACATATACAAGTTTTTTATTTGTGTTAATTATTTGAATTTTTTTAAATAACCACACAAACATTCTCACTCTTTCAAAATAAATTTGTTTTTTTTTTTATTAAAATAAATTGTATATACTAATTTGGATTCCAATAATTAACTTTTCCCCATTAATAAATCAAAATTAATAATTTTTGTATAGTTGTATTTTTAAAAAAAATAACTTAATTTTAAAAAAAATTTTGTTAAATTGAAAAAGATCAAGATCCATATGTTTTTTTTAAAATTTGAAAAAAAAAAAAATTAAATTGTAATTATATATGGCAATGGCAATTTATAGCATCACCTTAATTGTCAATTCAAACAATTAAAAATTATAATTTATTATTATTAAGTCACTTAATCCTGATAGAGTAATTACATGTAAATCATAATTTAAATTAAAAAATTAATATTTTTAAAAAGTAATAATGGAGTTGGTAATATTTTTAATACCCTACTCTATGCTTTTAATTATTAATTTTTTTTAATTACCTATCCCCCACTTCACACAATAAATTTTTTTTTTTTTTTTCCCCCACCAAACACAAATGTATTTGGTGATTGTTAACAATTAACATTAAGTATCACCATGGGGGTTATTTTAAGCAAGTAAAAGATATATTGAGATTAGTGTTTTTATTTCTATTTTTTTTTTTTTTATTAAAAAATTTTGAAATTATAAATAATTAAAAAAAAAAAAATATATGTATAAAAAATTAATTAAAAATATAAAAAATAATAGTTTTATTAATAAATATTAATTAAAAATTGCAAAAATGAATAATAGCGTTCTATCTATCAAACAGGCCATTTTAAAAAGAATTTTCCGTCAATGTAATTTTTATTTAACTGAAAATCATAATCTATTAGGGTCTTTCTATTTCTTACATTATTATAGGAGTTTTAATGTAATGGTTACCGATGTAAAAGAACATGAAGTTTTTGCAACACTACTCCATTTTTCTCCTCAAGTTACAAAGATTACCATTGAATCAATCTCTGATACTCTCTCTATTTTTAATTATTACTCGCCCTCAATCATAAGACCGAATCTTACCTCTTTGAAATTCGCCGATATGGATTATAATGTTCCAATTAAACCAGGAATGATCCCAAGCACTTTAAGAGAACTTACTTTGCCAACAGATTTTAATCATCCACTTCATGAAGTCTTTGCTATAAACAATTGCCCTTATTACATTCCAGTTTTTCCCGCATATGGATTGACTAAATTGTACATTACCAACTATTTTAATCAACCAATTCCTCCATACGTGCTTCCAAGAACTTTAAAAGAACTAAAAATTGGTTTTTCTTTCACCCAAGAATTGTATTTCGAAAGTATTCCAGACTCTGTTACTTTTCTTACTCTTGACTGCCCAGATTATGATCATCAGCTTGTTCCAGGAATCCTTCCAAGAAATTTAAAAAAGCTAAAGATGCGTAATAATGTTCCGTTATTACCTGGATCTTTACCAGAATCTCTTACTTATCTCAAACTTGGCGGCCACTTTAACCATCCTATTACTCCTAATCTTTTACCAAAAAGTCTTCAAAAAATTTCCTTTGGTCCAAATTTCAACAGTTTCTTTGTTCCATCTGAAAATGTCCATACAATCATTTTTGGCGAAGAAATGACTTGTGAACCACAAAACTTTACAAACAATGTCAGATGTGTAGTAGTCAACAACTCCCATTATTCAAAATTACCAAATACTATTAATGAACTTATCATTAATGCCGAAAAAGAAAGACATAAAAGATTTCCAGTGAATCTCAATTATTTAGAACTAGTTTGTCCAAGTCCTTTCGAATTTAGAAATGATGAGTTAAAACCACTCACTCATCTAAAGCATCTTAGACTTCTTGATGCTAATATAAGAATTAATGTTGCCCAAATACCAATATCCATAGTATCGCTCGACCTTGACGGTATAGACACAGATGATCCTCTAGAAAATCTAGACTTAAGCCCATTGGTAAATCTTCAACTCTTTAGTTTAGGTGATGTACATCCCGTAAATGCTACATTTCCACCATCACTTCGTGCAATCAAATTTTATGGTAATCAACAAGAAGTGTTTGCTAATAATTATTTTCCAGCAACCCTTGAAATCCTTCAACTATCAAGATATCATGTCCAACCTCTATCAAACACATGGCTTCCATCGTCATTGAAAATCCTTATCCATCCTGGTCAACCTGTTATTGCTGAAGATTATAGACGTCCAAAACTCATTAAATTTTATATTAGTTATAGAAACAGATCCGTAATTAGAGACTCTGATTTTATTAATGATAATTATAAAATTATCTATACATTTAAAAATAATCATGACGTAACCATTGAAGATCATTTAGATTTTAATCTACCATCCCAAAGAAATGATAGATATAGTAATAAATTTTATATGGCAGATAACTAAACTAAAACAAATAAAAACCTTTTTAATTTTAAAATAAAATTATTGTATGTGTAAATATATATGAGTATTGTATAAATGTCTAAACGAATATGAATAATAAAAAAGCCCAAGTATTTTTTAAAATCTAAAAAATATTGTTTATATATTTTTTAATTTATTTATTTTTTTATTTTCTTTTAATATAAAAAATCAATTAATTTAAAATAATTAAATGGCTGGTATACTGTAGTATGATCTCTTTAAAGTGAATAGTCCCTCGTTGATTAAATTCTACATAATTTTTTTTTTTACCAAATCAGATCTTTGTTTTTTATATAAATATTCTTGAAATTGAAGTTTATAATTTTCACTAGGATCTCTGGTGTCTTATTTATGGCTAAAGGAAATATACACCATATGTTAATGATGAAAGTAGTATACATACATTTCTATTGATTCTTTATAAAAGCAATTTTAATAAATAACTATATTATTAATTATTTTTTAAATAGTTGGGCTGATTAAAATTTGAATAAATATCGTTTTTTATTTTATAGAAAATTTTATAAAAAAAAAAAAAAAAATTTATTAAAAATTTATAATTTTTTTTTTTTCCCACCCAACCTTATTTAAAATATTATTATAATTATAAAATTGATAACACTATTTTGCAAATTTAAGAAGAAAAAAATTGAATTTAATAATAATAATAATAATTTTATAATAATAAAAATAAAAAATTAAATTCATTATTAAATTTTATTTAATGTTATAATTTTTTTATTTGTAGTTTAGAAATTTATTTGTTATTGACTAAAAAACTAATTGATAATTTTTTGTTTGGATTGTCAATACTATTGGATGGAATATTTGTGCAAAAGACTCTGTTGTTATTCATATTATTATTATTATTATTATTATTATTATTATTATTATTATTATTATTATTATTATTATTATTATTCATATTATTATTATTATTATTTAAATTAAAATTTATACTATGAGTGGTATTATTGAATGAATAATTAGAGTTGTTATTATTATTAATATTATTCATATAGTTATTCATATTATTATTATTATTATTATCATTATCATTGATAATAACATTGTTGAATAAACAAACATTATTGCTAGATCGAATTGAAGTTCCGGTAGCTCTATTCTTTGTGGTGGCAGGAGTAGTAGTAGTAGTAGCGGCAGTGGTGGTAGCAGTGGTGGTAGCAGTAGTGGCAGTTGTGGTAGCAGTAGTGGCAGTTGTGGTAGCAGTAGTATCATCATTATTTAAAAAAGCACTTGTTCCATCTTGATTTCTTTTTTCGTTAAGAAGAAACTCTAAAGAATAGGATTTTAGAACTCTTCTTCTTTTGATTAAAAGATCTCTCAATTTGGATTCTGAGATGGTGTCTATAGTGAAAGCTCTATGATTAAAAGTTTTAACACTTTTTGGTATATTTTCATCTTCTGTAACCATATGATTGCTAATATCGTAAAAATCTTCATCAATTAAGCCATTACCATTGGAAGCCTGTGTTTTTTTCATGCTGTAACTTTTAGACAAGAACCATATTCTGATCTTTTCTAAGGTAACACCATAGATTAATGCAAAGTATAAAATATTCTCTTCGGTGGGATATCGATAATTGTGGAAGAAAAAGTTTATCTCGTTGGTATCTCTATAAAACTTTGAGACAAAGGAATCTTTGTAGGATGTGTTGTTAGATCTCTTTAAGCTTTCTCTTTTGTGTTTGTACCATGTAACGACTTGAGTGTGGGTTAAACCTAATTGGTGGGCGATGATCTCTTTCTCGATGGTGCCTGGGAATGGGTTTTTATCGAAGCAATGCTCTAATACTGATCTTGCCTTTTTGACGATGGAGTTTGGACTGGGAGCTTTTTCAGCATTAACAGCGTTAGTATTAATAACATCATCGGTAGCATTGGCCTTCTTTGCTCTTTTATTCATTTTTTTATTGATTTTTTTAATTGTTAATGCTGCAATAAAAAAAAATTAAATTAAATTTTGGGTTAATAATAGAAACTTATATCTGATAACATTTTTGTACTATTACTTACAGTTATAAATTTATTCGTTATTGTTAACAAGTTTACTGGTACTTTGATACAAAAAAATAAAATATTGTTTTTTGTGATGAAAAAAAAAAAAATTTTAAAAAAAAAAAAATATATTTTGAATTTTTTTTTTGAAGATATTTTGTGGAAAAATTTTTTAAAAAATTCACCGCACCACACCAATAAATTAAAATAACCAATATAAAAAAAAATTTTGATTTTTTTTTAATTTTTTTTTGATTTTCATTTTAATTATTATAATATTGCACTTTTTCCGAAATTGATTGAACATAAAACCGATAATTATTCAGGCTCGCCACGAATTATCATGTGCTATTTCTATCACACCAGAGGGTGTTACATTAATGGCAATTTACAACTGTACATTCTATAATTAAAGAATTATGTATAGGCAAACAATAAATAATCATCAAGAAAAAGATAGAGGTTATTAGGCATTTAATAATTTAGAGGATATCCTTGTTCATATATTGGATCTAATAGTTTAAAAAAAAATAATAATTTAAATTAAACTTTTAATATATTTTAGGAATTAAAATATTATCAATGCAAAAAAAATGATGTTAAACCATTAATATATTAACAACAACAACAACAACAATGTATTACAATTATTCTATTTTTTTATTTATAAAATTATAAATGAAGATTTTTTTTTTTTTTTTCGTTTTTAATTAGATTTTATAAAATTTTCCATTTACTTTTTATTTTTTTATTTTTTTAAAGGTTTGTCATGAATTTATAGACGTTTTTTTAAAAAAAAAAAAAATTTGAATTCAAAAAAAATAAATTTAATTTAAAAAAAATAAATTTTTTTTTTTTTTAATTTTATTCAAAAAAAAAAAAAAAAAAAAAAAAAGATTAAATATTATTATGATTTATTTATTACTCCAGATATAATTGTTTCGCATTTGATAACAAGTGGATTGACCAACTAGTTTGGATACACTTTTCATTTGACTAGATCGGAGGTTCTCTACAAGATAGAATAAAGTTCTTTCGGCATCATTCATTATATTTCTAGCACTTTCTGATGCGTTTCAATTATGTCAAAAAGAAAACGAATTGATTTGGACATTGAAATTTTTAAAATATAGATTTGCCCCATCTGCAAAGGAAATCCTAGTCTTTGGTGTTTTTGAATAATGATGGGTTTCAAAAAAGTTTGTAATCATGATCGACTCTATAACAAGATGAAAGTTTCACTTCGTAAAAATTTTAAAGGTATGATAAAAAGGTATAATATATAAATTGTGATAATAATTTGTATTAATTGTTGTTATGTTTACTTTAGCTGATACTTGGCCTTTTGAATCAAAAGAAGATTCGATAGAAATAATCGAATCACAAAAACAACAACAATTACAATTACAGCAAAATCAACAAACTCTAAAAGAAAAAGAACAACAATTAGAACAATATCAACAACTACAACAAAAGCAATCGGAACAATATCAACAAATAATAATAGAAAACGACCAACTATTGCAACAATTACAACAATTACAACAACTACATCAAAAGCAATCGGAACAACATCAACAAGAAATAAAAGAAAACAACCAACTATTAAAACAATTACAACAATTACAACAACTACAACAAAAGCAATCGGAACAATATCAACAAACAATAAAAAAACAAGACCGACAATTAAAACAATATCAAAAATTACACGAAAAAAATCAAAATAAAAAATTAATACTACAAAAACAAAATAAACAATTAATACTACAAAAATAAAATATATCTCTTGCTGAAGCTTTAAACAAAGAAAGAGTTGATTTAAATAATTCTTTGGATGAATTCAATCAACCTCAAAGAGAACAATAAACAAGTTAAAATCAGCCGTTACAAATACAGATAGCCACTCTTTAAAAGTATGTGATTTACTTCAGTAGAGATGTTATCGTTAATCATATATTCTACCAAAGAAAAATTTAATGAATTTATCTCCACTTTCTATAAATGTTCTTTTAATACTTCTGGCAAACCAAAAGAAATAGGAAAGTGCCCAGGTATTGTTGAAGAAGAAAAAGTTCGTTTTTTATTATTATATCATGGTCTTAGCTATAAATTCGATGATCGTCACACTGCAATTTATAGTTCTTCTGGTAATTTCTATTCAGTTTGCCAAGGTTATGGTAATGTTTTAACAGGTCACACATTTTGCCAAATATGTGGTTACTTAAGTATTAAAACTAACAAAGAATACTGTTACTTTAAAACCTCAATCCACATCGATCATAGATTAAAGGTAAAGCCAACCAAAGTAACGGATCCGTTGGTATCCAATCTTACAAGTCTTCTTGAAAAAGATCCAAATTTCAAAGATACTTTCTTTTATACCTTCTTGACCGATCAAACAAAAACATTGCTCACTGGAAAAGGTGTTTGGTCCGAATCATCGCTCAGTTTTCTTGCAACACTCAAACATCATTGTGGATCAAAGATATTTGGCCTTTTAACTGGTACAAAACCCCTTCGTTATAGTTATGGTGGTATCCCCTGTCCTTCAGAATCATCAATTGCACGTTTCAATAAAGAACCTAATTGTTTCTATGAAATGAATTCATTTCTAGAATACATACTCTTAGAAATGACATTGATTCATCGAGTGCCGAAAAGAATAAACCATACTATGTAGGTGGACGAAATTGATACTCTAAAAGGATTGTACAACGATGTCTATGGATCAAAATTAATTGGGCTTTGTAATGGAGAGTCGATGATGAAAAAATTAAAGAAGAATGGTTTACTAAAGATTATGTTTCTGCAAATCTAGCTAAAAAGGCTATTCAAATTTTTCTTCAAAGCTTGGATGGTAAAATGTGTTTCAATCTTGGCAAGTTTCCAACCAATGGCAAGAATACACTGGCAGCAATAGAAATCATGGCATCATTAATATTAATAGGCAGAAGGTTTAATATTTTTTTTATTTTTTTAATCATGGATGGTTACGATGTCAGCAATTATGTTTACACAATGCTACAAAGATACAAAATCAGCGAAGAACAAAGTAAAGATCAAATTCACTTTTTTCAATCAAAAGATCCATCACATGATCATACTCATCATCAACCAGGCGGAAAATTGCTCAACCAGTTTGAGCATACTAATTCTATGAAACCCCATGGAGAGACAGAAAAAAAACCAATAATAATTATCATCATCTTCCCCATCTACACAATTTAAACCAGCAACTGTTAAACCATCAGCTAAACCAGCTCCACCTCCAAGATCACAAGCTATATTTAATAGAATGCCAACATCAGACCAAACCAACTGCCGCTTCCTCACCATCAAATAATACTACACCAAATTCATCACCAGTTATAAATTCATCCACCATAAAATACAACTACCACCAATAAAATACTCAATACAACAATTTTTTAATTTAAAGATAATTTTCACAAGCCAAATTTTTTTTTTTTTTTAATAATAATTTTTTTTTATTTTTTTAAAATTTTTTTTTTTAAAAAGTCAATTTTTTTTTATTTTTTAAGTTAAATTTATTTATTTTTTACTCCTTACATTAAAATTTTATTTAAAAAATTTTATCAAATAAAAAATTACATCAATCCCTCTCCAAGTGCTCAATTTATTGAGAACTAATATTTTATTGTGCAATATTTTTACTCTTTCTAAAATAAAAAGATTTTTTTATTTTTCAAAAAAATTAAATTTGTTTTATAATAATAAAAAAAAAAATAAAAAAAGATATTAATTTTTTTTCATTTTTTTTATTTTTTTATTTTTTTTTTACAACCCAGTCCACATTTTATTTATTTAAACTATATTTCCAATATTATATTTATTTTAATTATTTATTTCAAAAATTAATAATGAAAGTATAACAATAAAATAATAATAACAGCGATAATAGCAGTAATAAACAATAGTATGGGGTTATTCCTTGTGATCTTTTGTTTTGGCTATGATTATGGAACTGAGGTTTTAAAGATTTAAAATAACACCATCAGTATTGATCAAAGTGCAAACTATTTATAAGATCAGTAATGATATCCATCACAAACTACTTACAGACAAACTACCTTTAAACATTCTTTTAAAAAGAGAAGCAGATTCTAGCCTATTAAACAATATACAAATACAGATAGAGAATGCCATAATTCAATCGTGCTGATTGTAGTGTTTAAACAATATAAGATAAGGCAATAATCAAATCAAATATAATAATCATTATTATTATTCTTTTGATTATTCATAATCTTAGAAATGGTATTCAAGATGAAAACATATGGAAATTTTAATTGAAATAATAATAATAACAATTACAACAATAGCAAAAACAGTGTTCTCATGAATAAGCTTTTGTATAAAAATGAATAGCAACACAGTGTATAGCAAACATTCAAGAGATACTGTTAACGATTGATCAAATAAAAAGGTTAGTGAATGGTTAACATCATTAAAATTTCCCATAGAAATCATTTCAACTCTCAAAGCCCATGTAATAGATGGAAGAATTGGTTTTTATTTCTGACATTTTACCAAATGATGTTTAATTAATTTCCTTAGGTATGAATGCTATGGGCAAAAGATTAAAATTTAAAACCTTTTTAGAAAAGTTATTAGCTTCAAAATAAAGTCAATATCAACTTTTAGGTTATAGTAACAACAATAATAAAATAAAAATAAAACATTTTTAATTGATAATTTTAAAATAATAGTTCTTTTTATTTATTATTGTTTGTTTTTATTTATTTGTTTTTATTATTTGTTTTTTTTTATTTGTTTTTATTTGTTTTTATAATATTTGTTTTTAGGTTATTATTTATTTGTATAGAGTTCTTTTATTGCCTCTTTAAAATTGATTGAGTTTCAAGTGTTAAAAATAAAACCATTTAAAAATAGAACTATAATTTTTTTTTTTTTTTTTTTTTTTTTTTTTTTGTAAAATATTAAAAGGGGATACCCTAAAAATTAAGAAAAATTTATAATGATGAATATGTCACGTTGTATATAATTTCATTAAATAACAATCAAATTTGGATAGTGGGTGGGTTTCTAAAAAAAACAATAAAGAAAAAAAAAACAGATACGTGTGTTTTAATTATGCAAATGTGTGGTAGGTGTGTTTTATTTTTTATAAAAACACACACTCACTATACCATATTTGAAATAGCTTTTAGTTGTTTTTTAAAGATAAAAATATTTTTTAAAATTTTTATTAATTTTAATTATTTAATATGTTATATTTTTTGTTTCTTTTTATTTTTTGAAAGAGAAAACACCTACACAAAAATTAATTACCCCTCCAACACAACAACATTCAGCATATTACTTTTTTTTTAACCTCACAATCACATAGTTTTTAAATTCCCCCCACAAAATTATAATAACCAAATATTAATATTAAATAAAAAATTAAAAATTAAGTTCATTATTAAATTTTATTTAATTTTAATTTTTTCTTTTTTTTTTTTTTTTTTTTTTAAAAAAATGATTTAAACCTTTTTCATTATTATTCATTATTTCAAAAAAAACAAATAAAAAAAAAAAAATGGAGTATAAAAAAAATATTGTATATAAAATTGTAGAAGAAAATGATTGGAATAATTTTAAAGTTAGAAAGTCAGGTAAACCAGGTAGACCAAAAATACATATAAATAAAATTTGGTAATTAAAATAAATTAGATATCATATTTTTTAAATTTTTAAAACTTATTTTAAATATTTCTAATAAATTTATAGTTTGAGATGTAAAGTTGCCTCAAATAGTGGATGGAGAAAGGGCCCCGAGTAAGTTTAACATGATTTTTATATAGTTTACAAAAATATTAATTTTTTTTTTTTTTTTTAATTTAGAGACTGTTGTTTGTGTAATAAATGCGGGAAACAATACGAAAATTTAGAGAATCTTTTGCATGAATACAGCAAAGATTTTAGATACATTACAAATATAAACCCATTTCAATTGGTAATATCGGTTTTCATGGAGGGTGGGAATCTTTCAATACACGAATATAGATTTTTTATAAACTCTTTTTCCAGTATTAACAAAGATCAAGAAAACATATTATATTTTAAACGTACAGGGTTAATTTTAAAACCCGGTGGAAATAATTTTTCATTATTCCAAAGATAAAAATCCATCTTTCATAAAATAATCAAAAACCAAATAAATTTTTTTAAAAACTTAAAAATTTGATAATAAAATAAAACAATTCAAAGAAAACAATTTTTAAAAAAGATGGAGCTATATTTTATTTCTTTTATAATTGTTATATTAGTTTTCACATGTCTGTCATTTTTTACTGCTTTGTGGATCCAGTTATTATATTTGTTTTCTATATTCAAAAGAAATCAACTCAGATCCTGGTAATGAGTTCAAAATAAAAAATCCATTTTTAAGGCTAAATACATTGAATATGTTTTGTAAGTCAATACACAATAAACAATCCAACTTTATAATATTAAAAAACATATAAAATACTAACAATCATAATAGTTTTTGTAATATAATAAATATCTTTTTAAACTGAATTTTTCATAAAGTAAATTATTTAGATATATCTTTATTTGTTTATATGTGTATTTATTTATATAAATAGTTTGATTTTTTTTTAAAGAAAATTTTGATTGCTATTTTTGGCCTAGATGTTGCTGTTGATGATCATTTGAGATTAAAAGGACCAATTTAAAAGCCATAGTTACAAAGAATATACAAAAACCCCAATATTTGGTTTGTAACTTAAAATTTTGATTTTGAAAAAGAAAGAATTAACAAGAACCCCAATGTTTGATTTCTGATTTAGAATGTGTTGATATTGAAAAAGAAAGAATAAAAAAAACCCCCAATGTTTGAGTTGACTTAAAATGTATTGATGTTGAAAAAGAAAGAATTTGATTTTAACTAATGAATATTAAAATTAAGCATTAGTTTCTTTTGTTTTTAAATATAAAAATAATTTGTAAAGATTAACATTATAGCTACCTAAAGAATACCCCAATGTTGGCATTTAAATAACGAGCATGTCGATACTGAAAGAGAAAGAATTATACTAAATATGAATTAAATATTGGTTTCTTTTTTATGCAAATATTATCATTATAATTACCTTTAGAAGAATGTGTTAACGGAAAAAATGAAAAATTGGATTTAGCCTTCTAAGAATTAAATTATATATAAGTATCTTTTATTTTCAAATATAATAATAATTATCTAAATATAGTTACTTTAAGAATTATTTTGTTTTATTTGAACTTGGAACATTTAGAATTTTTCTGTAGATTTCAACTAATGTGATGCTTTATTTCTTATTACAAATGTTAATAAAGATGAATGTTTCTCGGATAATGTAGATGACTTTTCTTAATTCCATCGATTTCAAATGAAACATTGAATGAAACGATTTTAGTCTTCATCAAGTTCTAAAGAATGAAACATTGAATAAAGGCTTTAGGTGGGTCGATCATAACTTGCTCTTTGAATGAATTGATTAAATTTTGAAATAGATCTATATCATAGTTTGTTGTTTTTTCTTGAAGCACTGTTGCCATTCTCTCTAGACCCAAACCAGTATCGACACAAGGTATTGCTAATTTTTCTAATTCACCTTTTTCATTTCTATTGTACTGCATGAATACCGATTCCAAATTTCTAAAAATCTTTCGCCATCAACTTCTTTTCTTTCTCCATGGTCCACATGGTCCAGGCCATCGCTCATAAACCAAAAATTATCTTTTTTACCTAGATACATAATTTTATCATTTGAAAGCCCAATTTGACCTCTCCTTCATCACCTTCCAATACGGAAATGGCTAATCTTTCTTTTGGCAAACCGAAATCTTTAGTTAAAAGGTTCCAAGCTTGTTGAATTGAATCTCTTTTAAAATGGTTATCCACCAAATGAAAAATTACCCAACATTTCAAAAAATGTATGATGTCTTGCTGTATATCCAACATTTTCCAAGTCATTCTGATTGCCACCTGCTCTAACACATTTTTGTGATGTTGTAACTAATTTATATTTAGATTCTTCTAAAGCTGTGAATTGATTCTTAAACTGTACCATACCCGCATTTGTAAATAATAGAGTACTGTCATTATGTGGAATTAAACTAGAACTTGGTAATCTTTTACGTTTATTTGTTTCGAAATAATTTAAAAATTTTCTCTAATTTCTTTAGTGGTTATATCATTTTTAAAATTATTATTATTATTGGTTGAATAATTATTATTTATACTATTATAAATATTGTTAAAGCGGTTCAAGTTTTCCCACACATTTGTTATATCAAAATTTAATGCGAAAAAAAGTTAAAAAATTGGTGGGTTTTTTTTTGTTATCAAACTTGGTTTCACTTTTACAATATTTTATTATTTTTATTTAATGATTTTAAAATCATTTTTTAAATCAATAGTTTAATACTAATATATAGAAAGATATAATATTAAAAAATATTCAATAATTATAAAAAAAAAATTATTAAAAAAAATCAAAAAAACATTCAGACCAAAAAATAAAAATAAACACAACCCAAATAAAAATTTCAAAAAAAAAAAAAATATAATTTTTTTTTTAAAAATTGGGTAGTTCACTATCCAGATGCATTAATTTAAGGAAACTGTTTCTAGGTAATGTTTTCTCCCACATTATAGCTGAAGGCTCTATTCCTTATAATTTAGAATTATTAGGAATTTTTAATCATGACTATGCACACCCCATCAAAATCAATAACCCAAATACCATTGTTCAATGTTCAAATTATTTAGACCAATTTATTTCTAATCCCCACTCATTAATAACACTCATGCTTTTAAAAGAAATAAACTCAGACAAAATCACCTTGGAAAATTATATAAATTTAGAGTATCTTGACATTAGCAATACCACAATTTCTGATTTATCAAACCTTTTACCACCAAATAATAAAATAAAAACTTTAATATTAAGTAATAGATATAAAGTATTAGAATTAAAAAACTTTCAAAATTTAGAAAATTTATCAATAACCGGTTCCGAAACAACTTTAGAAGCAAACATTACTTATGAAAATAATAACGATAGTTATTACAGTAATAATAGCAACAATAGTAATAATAGCAATAATGTGATTAAAAAATACGATTGTTATAGTTTAAAAACGATAAGAGTATCAAAAGAGATTCAATTGTTTTTAGATAATTTAGATCCCATTTTTCATAAAGTTGTAACAATATTGCCTTAAAATAATTTCTTTAAAAAACTAATTACAAAATAAATATTAATTGTTTTTATATTTAAATAAAAAATTTTAACTTTTGTTTTTTATATTTATATTTTAATAAAAAATTATGAAAAATTTAATATAAAATTAATGTTTTATTATGACATTCTTAACAAAAAAATATGATAAATATTTATTATTTGATAATATAAACGGAATACTCTAACCCAAAAAATATTATTTTGATATGCAAAAATATGGGTTATTTAAAATAAAAAAAAATGGGAAAAAAAAAAGATTTTTTTTTTTATAAATAAATTTTATAATTTTTATAATTTTTCATTTAAAATAAAAAATAATAAAAATAAATAATTATTTTGTACAAAATAGTAAAATATTTACATTAATAAAATAAATAAAAAAATGATAGAAAATAGTGAAGGAAGAGTTATTCAAGAAATTAAAGGAAATAATATATACTGCAGATCTATTTCGCCACCCCAAATAGAAATAACAGAAAAATATACAGATGCACACACAATAAGTGGTCATAATATTAAAAAAGTTAAACTCTATGGCAAGATAGCAGTATCGGGTTTAAGTGCAATTTATCTAACTTTTGCAAATTTAATAAAACAAGAAAAGAAGGGTGACAATATAAATATTATAATCAGTGACGAGTTATATTGCGATACACCTAAAATTATCAAATCTTTTAATTGCCCAACAACTGAAATCAATGTGTGCAACCCTGCCTCCATTTTGCAACATTTTCAAGGTTTGAAGAATGAGAATCCAAATAAAACCAATATATTGTTTTTTGAAAGTGCCTCAAATCCTAATGGAAATATATTCCCATTCGATATTTTGCCAAAATTGAAACAGCTATCAAAGAAACTAATTGTAGTTGTGGATAATACTTGGTTAACTCATGTAATTTTAAACCCATTCAAATTTAGCGATGTTGAGATTGTGGTCAATTCATGCTCAAAGTATTATAGTGCCAGCAAATGTATTTCTGGTATGATTCTATCAAAGAATGCAAACTTTATGTACTCCCTCGAAAGTATGTCAAAGTTAATGGGTTATCATGTCAGTGTAGATTATTGTAAATTGTTATTGGCTAATTTCGGCACCATGGAGGATAGAATCATGGCTTCCTATAAAAACACACTTGAATTAACCAAGGTGTTATCAAGTTACAAAAATATAACCATTCGTAACAGTTCCAACCCAAATGATTCATCTCATCAATTAGCACTTACATATTATAACAAGTCAAAGGAAGATCCAAATGAAACAATCCATCCAAGCATTATAAATGTCATTGTAAACAAACCAATAGATCACGTTAAAAAGCAACTTGAAGAAAATAACATAATTACTAAAACTTCGTTTGGTTCATGTCATACTAAAGTTTGCAATTTTATGAAATCATTATCACCACAATATACCCAAATTAGAATCAGTGTTGGATACGATAAAATAGATTTCAAAATGTTTGAATTTTTAAATTCAAATTAATAAAAATAAAAGATACAAAAAGCAAATAAACAATATTTATTTAAGCAAAGTTCAAATTAATAAAAATAAAAGATACAAAAAGCAAATTGCTTTTTATTACTACTATCAATATTTAATTAAATAAATATTGTTTATTAAATTATTGAAAATGTTTTTAGATTATAGTTTATTATTTATTTAAAAAGTTTGTCTCAGAAATCGGATAGTTTTTAAAAGTTTAATCTGAAGATTTATCTTTGGAATTTCTGTTTTTATCTGAATGAAGATATAGGGCATTATTTCTTACTATTATCAATTTGTTTTATTTCAAAATTGAGCAGAGAACCAATTTAACACAAGTAGTGTACCAAAATGATTTATACACACTGAACAATAAAAATTATGTTTTTTTAATATTGTAGTTTATTTATATCCTTTTAAAAAAAAAATTAAAAAGAAAAAATAAAATTATATAATAAAACAAAAAATGATATATCTTCTATTTTTTTTATGAGGCAACTGTACAATATTGTTGTTCAAACTTATTAGATTGTTATTAAAACTGTTTTTAATTTTACATGATATAAAATTACTATGTATTTGTTTTTTATTACGGTGAGTGTGGGAGCATATATGTGGGGTTAAAAAAGTGTTTGTATATATTTATTAGTGTTTGTGTTAGGGGTTTTTTTTTATTTATCTGAAATTGGGTTGTTATATTAAAAATAATTATAATTTCGTTAATTTTTTCTAAATCTCAATGTATGTGATTTATTAATAATATTGTTAATTGTTTTATTATCCCGAAAAATTAAATTATATAATAATACAATCATATTAAACCTCTCAAAATTTATTTTTATTATATAATGAAGTTTTTTTTTTTGTTCACACTCCCATACACCCACATAAAAAATTTAATCTTTGAAAGTAACCCCTTTCCATATTAATTTCAATTATAATAGATAAACCGATATTAATATTAAAATAAATAAAAAAAAATATAATTTGTTTTTTAAATTTGATTTTTAATTAATTATTTGCATAATAATAAATTATAATAAATTTATTATAATAATTTTAAACTTTCATAATAGTAATTATAATAAACAAACATGAATCCAAGTTGTAATCAAGTTTTAAAAGAAGAAAAAGAAGTAATATGTGAAAACAAACCAGTGATCAAATACACATTAGAAAACCCATCCCAGAATCTAGAATACAAATTAAAGATTTCATACATTATAAATGAACCAACTGCCCCTCCTCATTTGTTTGGTGGAATTTTTTCATCCTTTGGAGTAGAAAAAAATACAAACATAAAATATTACAACTATTTGGAATATTTAATGAAAGAAGAAAAACAAAAACAAACCATTAAAACAAACCAAAATGTAATAAAAAAAAATAGTAATCAAAAAAATATTAATAATCAAAAAAATAATTATTTAAATAAGGTCTATAAACATTTTAATAATATTAATTTGAATAATAATAACAATAACAATAACAATATAAATAACGGCCACAACCGTACAACAACAACAACTACTACTACTACAGTAACAACAACTTTATTAGAGCAAAAAAATATCAATTTCATTTAAGAATTTCAAATAATATGATTTGTGTATTATTTATAATGAATTCATTTCTTAATACATAATCATATTATAAACCATCATTGAATAATATTTTAATTAATATTAAAGATGGTGGTAATAATACATATCAGTTTGAAGTATATGGCCAACCATTTGTAATTCTTTTTAACCTTAAATAAATTTTTTTCCTAAACAAATTTTACAACTATTTTTTACAATCCTTTATTTATTTTAATTTTTTTTATTTATTTTTAATTTGTAGATGTGTTTTAATATTTTTTTATTAGTTTATAAAATGCTTTGTTTAATGTTCTGCTTTTGTTGTTAGTTTTCTTGTTTTCAAAGTTTAATGTGCATTGATTTGATTTATTAAACATTTCTTTATCATATGTTAGAAAGGGTGGGGAAACATTGTCAATGGTCCTGGATATTTAGTTCAACTTTCAGAGGATTTATATTCTAAAAAATGATATGGTTTACTATGCAGATAAGTTATAGGCTCCTGAAATTAGCATGAAAACTATTCTTCTCATTCTGCCAAGATAGTAGATATGAGTATATCAGAAAAAACAATATTTTATTTGGTGAAATACAACCTTAAAGCTCGATTTTATATATTAGAGAATCTATGGTCATATGATTTGTTTTAATATACGAATCTAGTAAACATTTGTATCAAATTCCAGCCTATTAAATGATATACAAACTACTTACAGATAAACTATCTTTAAACATTCTTTTAAAGAGAATCAGATTCTAGCCTATTAACCGATATACAATGTAAAACCCGTTTTCAACATCAAACTAATATTCATCACAAATCCAGATACAGAGTGCCATGGTTCAATAATGATAGTCGTAGTGTTAAATAATAGGATAAGGAAATAATCCACTTTTTAGTTTATGGTTACATAATAATTTCAAATGCACATCTAAATACCTAATCATGTCATTCGATTAATATAAATATATTTAAAAATAAACAATAAATAATCCTTATTAACAAATAATAATAGCAGTAATAATAAATACCTTTATATGTATAAAAAAAGAAGTTGCTGAAAACTGCTGGGTCTATCTCATTAATTGAAAATACCCTCATATCAACTGCAACTACCACAAATCCCCTAATCATAAATAAATATTTAGAAATTGCCAAAATGTTGCTTCTTTTTTACTGTGTTTTTCATTAAACAAATTATAACGTTGTTATTATTAAATAAATAAAAAAATGAAAATTTTTAATTTAATTTTCAAAAAAAAAAAATTTTAGAAATTTAAATTTTTTTTTTTACTTTTTATTTTTTATTTTTTTGATTATTGATATTTTTTATAAAAAAAAATTTTACAAATATTTATTCAGTTTAATTACTGCAACAGAGGAAAATTAATTATATATTTTAAATTGGTATATGTATTTGAAGTTTGCAAACTATTGATTTTATTATTAAATATATTATTTATTTTTTTTTAAATTTATTGGTAAAATGGCACGTGGTAATTATAAAAGAAAGGCAACAAACAAAAAAGTTGTACAAAAAAAAAATTCTACAAATATAGAGGTTTTAGAAAAAAGAAAGATCAGAAGCCTGCTATATTTGTAGAACCATAACCACACCGGAATGGAGAAATGGTAAGGTGGATATTAGAGATGTAACTATCGAAGTACTTATGTGTAATGCATGCGGTCTCCACAACGCTAAACAAATAAAAAAGCAGAGATTTCAAGGGAGCATAGCATCTACAAACTATTAAACTACGAAGATGAAGAATAAATTATAAAAAAAAATTAAATAAAGATTTTATTTATAGTTTATCATTTGTTAAAACAAAATGATCTTAAAATAAACTGTTTTCTTTTTCTACTTTCCATAAATATGTTATGATGGTTTAGATTCAAGACTTTTTTTATTTTTTTTTATTTTTTTTATTTATTTTTTTTTAATTAAAAATGTGTGTAGATTAAACAACATAGAAATAGTTTAAAATTTCTGCAAAAGTTGGACGGTTAATTTGGTCTATACTACTGCATTTTGAGAGTATAGTAGACCAATCTATACTAACTCCATTATAGTTATCCAAAAGAATATTACGTGCAAGTATTTCTTTGAGAAGAACGGAAAAAGAGTACACATCTGTTTTTTCATTAAGACTTTTTCGAGTTTTGCCTTCATCTAGAAGCTCTGGTGCAATGTAACCATTTTTTCCTTTATAATGGACTTTTATATTTGGATTACTATTACAGCTGATACCAAAATCCACAAACTTGATACGGGAGCTGTTTCCTACATTATATACTAAAATGTTGGAATTTGAAATATCAGCATGAGTTACACCAATGGAATGCATATGAATTAAAGCTTTGATGATTTTACGGAGAATGGAGAATAACTCGAATGGGTTAGGGTTGGTATTCAAGTAATGTTCTATGGTGATTCCATGGACCATTTCCATAACAATATAATAAAATACGTCTAACTGGAGAATCCCGTAGAATCTGGGAACATATTGTTGTAGGTTTAGTAGCTTAAGATTGGCAGTTTCGTTATAAAACATGTCACCCTTCATTTCATAACGTTTACAAGCAACTTCTATATTATTGTGAGTACCGATGAAAACTTGAGAAAAGAAACCAGCACCGACGCATAGATTAGATACATAGATTTGGTTTGGATTAATAATTTCTAACTGCTGCTCTGTTTCTATTCGTTGTTGCTTCTCAACTTCAAGAATATTATCCATAGTTCTGGAAACTTTTAGATCTGAAGAATACACATAGTGCTTAAAACTCTGGTCATGGACAGAGACGAATTCATTCATCTCATTACCCCAATGTGCTAGTTGTTCCAATGGATCCATATTTGATATTGTTAGTTCTATACCTATAATCTTTTTTGATTTTTTATAAGGTAATAAAAATTATTATTAATATATTTATATTTATATTTATATTTTATTTTGTATTAAACTATTTACCTGTTTTTTTTATGTAAGTTTTTATTTGTTAAGAGTATATTTATATTTATGAATTAAAAAAAAAATTATTTAAATAAAAACAATACATAAAAAAAAAAAAATTATACATAAAAATAATATATAAAAAAAATTTATATTTGATATACATACAAATATATATATACACTTTTAACACAGACTATAATAATCATTTTTGTGAGTTTGTTGTGTGTGTTTGTGTTATGCTATTTTGTGAACTTGTTGTTTTTGTGTGAGTCATTAATTTTAATATTGAAGTGGTAATGTAAAAATTATGTGATTGTTTATTATTCAAGAAAAGGTAATATGGAGAATGTTGTTGTGTCGGAGGGGGTAATTAGTTTTTTTGTTGATGTTATCTCTTTAAACACAATAGAATCAAAAAGAAAACCCCACTTCCCCCAAAAATTAACAAAAAAAAAATTCATAATAGAACAAAATTAAATATAATAATTATAAAAAAAATAAATATAATTTTATCTTTAAAAAACAAGTAAAAGCTATTTCAAATATGGGTATAGTGAGTGTGTGTTTTAATAAAAAAAAAATTTTAATCAAACACACCTACCACACATTGGCATAATGAAACACACTTATCCGCTTTTTTTTTTTTTGTTTTTTTTTTTTATCAAATTTGATTGTTACAATTTTGCAACTTCATCCTTTTAAAATTTTTTTTTTCCTTTTTAATTTTTGACAAAAATATAATAATAAAGCTCTATTTTTAACACTTTAAACTCAATCAAATTTTTAAAGAAGCTATTAAAAGAACTCCATACAAATAAATAATATTATAAAAAAAAAAAAAATAAAAACAAATAATAAATAAAAAGAAATAATTATAAACAAACAAATAAATAAAAACAAATTTGAATATTTTAAAACTATTATTATTATTTATTTTATTTTATTTTTATTTTTTACTATAACCTAAAGATATTGTTTTGTTTTGGAGCTTGTAACTTTTCTTATTGTTATTATTATTATTTATTATATTTTCAATTTAAATTTCTATATGTTTTCATCTTGTATACCATTTCTAAGATTATCTTGATAATTTGCAAATTCATTAAATTGCCATATTAAATTTGAGTCCATTGTAATTACTACTATTATTACAGTTGCTATTAGTATTTAATAAAGTGCCTTCTGAAAATTTGTGCCAAATTCATCATAGCTGTTTTTTTGTTTTATTATTATTACTATTATCGTCTATTTCTGTGCCTACAACAAGTTTATTCTCTCTGATTTTTAATTTGAAATTATTTTTATTACCACCACTAAAATTATTATTGTGTATAATCTTATTTTTATTGTTATTATTTTTTTAATTTAACATTTTTCAGGTATTTGTATTAGATTTGAGTGGTGTTCTTCTATAGTATGATTATTTCCAATACCTCTTCAAACCAGTTTTAATATTTTATATTCGTTCTTATTTGCTTGGATGTTTCTTGAAGCAGTGATTAAATAACCTCTTTTTAATTATTTCTATAAACTATTTTTAAATCGTTAGTTAATACTGAATATCTTTTGTTAAATCAATTTACCACGTTCTGTTATATGAGAAAGAGTGTTTATATTTACCTTTAATGATTCAAAGTTTGAATCATTAAAAACTTTACATTTATTTAAGAAATCAAGGAATTTTCACTTTCTTTTTGAATAAAGGAAATTACATCTTTTACTTGTTACATTATATAATGTTAATTTAAATTATTTACTGATGATATTGTTATATTATCTTATGTCTTTATTTATCATTATTAAAGATTATTATGTTTTTCTTTGTGTGTTGTGAATTTTTTTTTTATTAAAATTTATTTTATTTTTTTGAATTTTTTTTTTATTGAAATTTTTTAAAAAAAAAAAAAAAATTTCAATTTTTTATATTTTAAGAAGATATTTTCAAACGTGATTTTATTATTTAATTATAATTAATCATAACAATTATTACTTTCATCTATAAAAAATATAAAATTATATTAGTTATTATTATTATTTTTTTAATATAATAATTTAAAATGAAGAAGAAACAAATAAAAATCAAATAAATACTGTTAAGAGAGAGTTTTAACTCGGTGATGATTTTAAAAATAATTATTATAAATTATATTTATCAACATCAGTATCATTAAAAAAATAAAGTGAAAAGAATAGTGAAATGATATTCTTTCAAAATACAGTCCAGATAAGCCATATTATGAAATTTACATTGACGATTTGGTCAGCAAAACTGATTGGGACATTTGAAAAGTTTCAATAAATCATGCTTTAAATAAAAAATAAAATAAAATAAAATTTTAAAATATAAAATTAAAAAAATTTAAAAGTATACAATTTAATTTTAATTTTTTTATAAAAAATAATAGTTTTTATTGTTTGTATTTTAAAAGTATTTATAGAATTAATTGAAATATATATAAATATTTAATGTTGTTAAGAGTGAATGAATGAGTGAATGAATGGTGAATGGTGAATGGGTAAGTGTGGTGTGAGTGAGTGAGTGAAAATGAATAAGTTTAAATTAGAAATATTTAAATTATATTATATTATTAGATTATATAAATTTAAAAATAAATCAATAAATATTTTTTAATTTAATAGTTTTCTATTGGCTTTTTTTTGAAAGCATGTGTTCAAATCTTTTATGAATATATTGGAGACCACATTCATTACATAGAGTTGATCGTGGTTCAACACGTTCCCTTACTACCCAACATATTTTCCACCCTGTCCTAGTTTCAGATCTACAGTATAAACAAGTTTCTGGCGTTAGATGTCTTGGAATTGGTGTTCTTATTTTTTTTAAAACCTCTTTTCTTTTATTTCCATTCATTTTTCTAAATAAAGAAAAATAGATAAATATTATAATTAGTAAATCTAAATATTTTTTAATTGTTAATGAATATAAAATACTACCAAACTGTATATATATAATTATTTTATTATATAATATTGATAAATACAAAAATAAATAAAAATTCAAAAATTTATATTTAATAAAAAACAAAAAACAAAACTCTTTCTTTTCCCAAATAACAAATATTGATATATTTGATTTTAAGTCACTTAATATCAAATATGGACATATTTGATTTTAAGTCACTTAATATCAAATAAAATTGTTTTAATTATCACAAAAAATCAGTTATTGTTTTTTTGTCTTTTACCTTTTATATTCAAAAAAAAACACAGAAGCGTGAGTGGTTGTGACTGTAGAGTCACTAAAAACATACCCACACAACCATTATCTATTAAACTACCCCTCTATTTTTTTCTAAAAATAAACCATTCACACAAACAATCAAAATTAATTTTGATTCTGACAACTAATGTAATATTAATTTTTTTGTTTGCACGTGGAAACAAATGATTATTGTTTATGAATTTAAATCTGTATTGAATCTCTATTAAATTATTTATGTTTTTCAAAAAACATTATTTAAATGTATAAATTATTGAGGTAAATTTAATTTTTCTCAATTTACAAAAATAGATTTGAAAAAAAAAAAATTGTGGGTAAAATAATTTGTGTTTAAACTTTTTTTAAATTAATGGGTGAGAGTAAAGATTTATTATCTTAGTGATTGTGTTTAAATCCTCCAAAAAACAAACTGATTTTATAAAAAAAAAAAAAAAACGTAATTATTAATCAATACATTGTTATTTTTACATTACTTAAAAGTTGTATTTTTTCTGTTGCTAAAATTAACTTTTTTAAAAATAATGCCTTTTTGTACTATTTAGTGTAACCACCATTTTTTTAAAAAGGTTATATCGGGATAAGTTTTTTTTTTCTTAATACTTGAATCTTTATATAAAACCAAAGGAAAACTCGGTTAATACTATTGTATAAGTTAATATTTGACTTGTTTCAAATTGTATTATATTCAAATACAAAAATATTATAGTTCATACTGGAGTATGTTAAGTTATAAGATTTTGAGTAAATTCATTCATTATTTAAATAAAAATCAAAAAAAAAAAAAATTCAAAAGATATTTTCATTAATGATAAAAAAAAAAAAATTTTAGATTTTTTTTATTTTTTTTTATATTATAATGATCTTTGAATGTATAATAATTAAAATAAATTTATTTTTTCTTTAAAAACAAAATTAAAATAGAGAAAAAAAAATATAGAATAGTTAAGAATGGTTAACGATAAAAACAAAAAAATGTATAAAAAACAATGAGATTTTTTAAATTAAATATTTTATTTTTTTAATAAAAAAACTTTTAATTAACAATCATTTATTTCATCTAGTATTACGAGGTATTAACATTTCTATTCTATTTTGAGACAAACGTGGATAATAACATTTTTGACATTTATCCACAATGACCCTTACTCCATTTACCATAATAGCTCTTCTCCACCATTCGTTGGATGTGGTAGTTTTGCAAAAGTGGCAAATAGGTATTCTTGGAATACGTGGCCTTCCAATATTTGTTTGTAAAGCTCCAGTTGTGCTATAAATAATAAAGAAATAAAGAAATTGGTTTTTTTAAAAATTAATAATTGTTAAAATAAATAAAAGTTAATAAAAAATACTGTACGACATAATTATATTTTATTTAATTGACAATTGAAGTAAATTGAATAATAAAAAAACAAATTTCCTTTATTTATAAAAAAAAAAATAAAAAAATAAAAAAAAAAACAAAACTTAAATTAAAAAATTGATGTTCTAATAATGATATTTATAACAAATCCAAAAGATATGGTGGTGAATTTTACCCCCAACACTCTATTTTTATGCCATGCACAAATTCATAAAATTGTTGGTTAAAAATTGTTTCAATAACAAAAAGAAAAAAAAAAAAAGGATTATTAATTTTTAATAGATTGTGATTAAACTTTTTTTAAATTAAATTTTTATTCATGAAAAAAATAATAATATTAACAAGTGATTGCGCCATCATGACAATATATAAACTGCCTATTTGAATTTAATCAATAAAGCAGATTGAAAAAAAAAAAAAAATTGATCTAAAACCCCTTTTTTTAAATCCAATAAAATTTATTAAAAAAAAAAAATTGATTTTAAAAAAATTGTTTATGATAATGAAAAGTTGAACTGTGGAGTTTTGTAAAAATTTTATAAATAAAATTGTTATGAAAAAAAAAATTTTAAATAAAATTGGTTATTATTTAAAAATATAATTTAATATTGATAATTTTTCTATTTTATTAGATAACGAAATTTTTGAGTATTAAAATGATATAATTCATCAAAACTTATAAGTTGAATTTGCAGAGAAAAATACATGTGGCTTTATACTCTGTGAACAGGATGTTACTTTTATTCAACAATTTAATAATATATTATAATATATAATGTCTTTAATTCTGACAGTTCTGGTCGAATTTATTTATTTTTTTTATTTAAATTTAAATATGAACACTTTTGAAACAACAGATTGATTTGGCTGTGGTATAAATGGTTGGACGTGAAACGATGGCTTTAATTGTGAAAAATACTTTTCGTTATACTTTTCAGATGATTCACATTCTGAATCAGTATCTTCACTTTCATAATCATCATTTTCATCTAATGGTTTACATGGCAGAGAAGGTACATTACATTCGGACTGATCTGAATCCTGTTTAGTTTAAGAGTTTTAATTTTAGATATATAAAAAATTTATTAAAATAATACTAATTGTTTTTATGATTTAAATTTACCTTATTGTTTTGTTTTTTATTTTTAGACATCTATAATACAAGTTTTAAATTTTATTTTAGAAATAAATATACATATAAAATATTTTTTTTTTTTTTATAATTATAATTTTTAAAAATCTTTTTTTATTTTTGCACAAAAAAGTATATTTTATATATTTTAATTTTTTTAAAATTTTTTTATTTTTTTTGAAAATATAAAAACAATTAAAATAAATAAATGGAGAAAAAAAAAAAAAAAGTGATGATTAAAAAAAAATAGATAAAAATTTAAAAAAAATTAAAAAATTAATTTAAAATTTTTTTTTTTTTTTCACCACCATTTTTTTTTTATAATTTATATATATTTGGTACTATGGGTGTTGTGGGTATGGCTGTGTGAAATTATATTATATCATAATTTCTTTTTTTTAAAAGCTAATTTTTTATTAAATAATTATATCGAATCATAATAAAAATAATAATGATAATTTTTAAAAAACAAACCTTTCTACAAAGGTTTTGTTGTGTAAAAATAAATAAAAAAAACAATCAAATTTTTTTTTTTTTAGGGGCACCTACTCAACAAAGCTCGCAATAAATAAATCATAATTGCAGCAACAAAACAACAACAAGTGGTAATGAATATAAATTTAACAGACACAAACATAAATAGGGTATTTTTTTTTTTTTTTTTTTTTTTTTTCTTTTATTATAAAAAACCCATTCGAAAATTTTTTAAAAAAATTTTATTTCCGATTTAATTTTTAATTTTTTTAAAATTTTTTTTGAATGTTCAAAATGCACACAAAATTCAAATGGAATCTGATTAAGATTATATAAAAATAAACAGTTTTTATTTTTATTTTTGGTTATTTAAAAAAAAACATCATAATTACCCCAAGCTAACAACTTTCTAAAAATTTTTAAATTTTAAATAACTTAAAATTTTTAAATTATAAATTAAATTGAATTAAATTGAATTAAATTGAATTAAATAAATATAATTATTCACAAAAAAATTTTAAAATTAATTTTTCTTTCATATACCATACTTAATTTACTCCCCACTCTAATTTCATTTTAATATATTATTCATTATCTTCATTCTATTTATTTCACTATATACTTTTTACAACTATTTAAAAATGCAATCTTCTAATAACATTATTAAAACTTTTATTTTAGATGACCATACAGAGTCATATAAAATAAATGGTACATCAGTTGAAACATTCACTCACATTCAACTGACTAATATGATACATGCTTATGGAGGAATAATTTCTCATAACTTTAGGGCTAAAAGTATGTAAATAATTAAAAATATAATTTAATTAATTAATATATTAATATTTTTTTTAAAAAAAGAATTATTACTATTACAATTAAAAGAACTTTTAAAACAGGAAATAGAAAAAAATTTATCAGATTCAACCCAAACACCTTCTTCAAGTGATGATGATGAAGAAGACGATGAAAAAAAAAAATATCAATGTACACTATGTTCCTTACATACAATTTATAAATCAAGTATAGCTAGACATTTAAGACTTATCCATAGTATATCATCTGAAGAAAATAAAAATTATTTTATAGAAATACCTCCATCCATAACAACAACAACCACCACCACAACTACAACAACTACAAGTGGAAATTCAAATAATTTGGTTATCTAACCTTAGAATTTGGTTATCTCCGGTGAACTTTTTTGTACTAGAAGCTGTTTATCTTAAAATTTATTAAACCCATATTCAAGTTCAATCAATTCCCCAACAATTACAACCTCAATTACAAATAATTAATATAAATAAAAATATAAATAATAATAATATATAAATAAATAAAAATAAATAAAAATAATAAAAAGAAATAATTAAAAAACAAATTTGAATGTTATATGGTTTTAAAATTATCATTTATCTATAAGTTAAAAATATTTTATTTTTATTATATTGTTGAGGAAGGTATTCTAAGTAGGCCAGTTACCAACATGCATGTTATCATTTAATTTATTATTCATGAGAACGTTTCTTTTGTAATATTTTGCCCTTGAGTTTTTATGATTATATACACCTATTTTTTGTTATTATTATTATTATAATTATTTTGTTATCATCACTATTATTATCATCATTATCATGTCCACTACTATTTTGATAGATATTGTGATTATTATTTCTATTATTATAATTGTTGTCTATATTGTTGTGGTCGTTGTAACCCTTTGTTTTGATTATTGTTATATTTAATAATAACTACAATATTAATTTTTCAATCGTCCATTGATTATAATTAGTTAAAATATTATATTCCCTAATCAATAATAAATAAAAAAAAATTAAAAAAAATTAAAAAAAAAAAAGTAAAAAAAATTAAAAAAAAAAAAAAAAAAAAAAATTGTAAACATTCAATTTTAAAAAAAGATCTTTTTTTCTAAAAATAACCTAAATTGAACCCCCAAGTAGAATCTAAAGGATATGATTTAAACACTGATTTATTTTTAACCCATTTATTTTGTAATCAGCTAAATAAAGCCAAATATAAAATCTTAATAAAAAAAAATAAAACAAAAAAAAAATTGAAAAATTGTAATTTAAAACACTTTACATTTTTACACCACATTAAATTAAATTTAACTTTATATTAATTTCTTTATATAAATTAAAAATTTAAATAAAATTTTTTTTTTAATTTTTTTTTCAATTTTTTTTTCCACATTTAATTTTATATTTTATTGTTATTTATATAAATATAAAATTAATATATATATATTTAATCTCCACACCATGGATCTTAAAAGAAAAAATGACAAAATAACAAACAATAACAAGAACTATACTAATAATAATAATAATAATAATAATAATAAAAATAACAATAACAATAATTATTATTATAATATTAATAATAATAATCAATTAACACCCATGTTATCAAATGAAATAAAAAATAAAAAAAATAACAATAATAATAATAATAATAATAATAATAAAAATAATAATAATAATAATAATAATAGTATAAACAACAATATTTATAATTATAATAAAAATAGTAATAATAATAATAATAATAATAATAATAATGATAAATTAATATCAAATAAAAAATATAAAAGTACTGATATCAGTTCAGAATTTGATAATATTTATACATCAACAAATACACCCAGTTTGGTTTTTACATCAAATAAAGAAAATAATAACCCCGGTGAAATTGCATTTTGGAAGATATTTAAAAATAAAATTTTATTCAATAAAATATTTTCAAATTTCAAATTCAAAGAGCTATTCAATTATAGAGATTTAAAAGATTCCGGTCATATTTTAACCAAATTTAGTAATGGAGAAGCAATTATTAGAGATATGGTAAAAAGTGGAAAATTTGTATTTTCAGATTTTAAATTAGAATTAATCATTAGTGTAATCACCCAAGATACTAAAGAGAATAGAGAATTCTATAGACAACTATTTTCAATATATTACCACCAAAATGTTGATTATTCATCATGGGTACAAACATTTGTGAAGTATCATAATAAAATCGCATTTCTGGAATTCTTTAAAATTTTTAAATTAGATAAAAGTAAAATTTCAGTGAAAGTTACGTATTTCGGTAAAAGCATCAAAAAAAATCTTAAGATGAAAGAATTTGTAGAATCAAATGGAGTTAAAGTTATTGAAACGATATCAGTATTTGATATGATTACGAATTTTCAATATTCACAAAAACTCAAATGGCTCATAAGTTTTATCTTGTTTTGTATCGATGACAATATCCAACCAAAACCAAAACACATTTTTATAAAAGAACTACTATTTAACTCATTAGATACAATTAAATCTAGTACAATATATTTAAACTCAACTATTAATGAAATATCACAATCTAAAGATAAATTTTTGAAAGAAAAAACCTACTACTTTCTCAAATATATATATTCAATATATGCTGAAAAATACAAAAAACCTCTTTCTAAACCAACTAGTTATCATATATACTTTAGAGGCAAGTATAAAATTGAACGAATTTATTCAGATAGAAGAGAATTTGTGTACCCGTCTAATGTACCACCCACATTTATAAAAAGTGATGAATTCATTGATTTTCAAATTAAACTAATTAAATTCTTACCCATATCTTATATAAAAGGAGTGGTTGAAGAGGCCATTTTTTCAAGCAATAATTTGGTTCCAATAGATCTCATGATCAAGCGTAAAGGGGGTTGCTTATACGGCTATCTTATAAATCATCTTAGAAATATTACCAAGACCGAGATATTGGACCACTTTTTCAATAAACATCAAGAATTAATGTTTATTGACGATAATATACTTTGGATATACACCAACAGCAAAGTTATGGGCCATTTCGAAAATTTAATGAAAAGTATTTCAAGAAAGTTTATAGTTTTATTGCATTTTCCTAAATCAGACTTAAAAAATACTCCAAGTAAAGATTTTTTCGAAAGATTAGAAAGAGCAATCGACAATCCAACAGTTTATAATTTTGCATACAATTCAATGCATCCTCAAAACTCAATAAATAGATATAAATCATATTTTGTAAAATTGAAGTATTTTAACCAGGATTCTGCAATATCATTGCTAGATAAGCACCTAAAAATATATGGAATTTCAGAATACTTTGATATTGAAACAATTTTAAAAAATAAACTCAATCAATCCTATAAATTAATATATTGGATCTTTCAAGACCTATCAGATGGTTATATTCAATCAAACTTATTAAATGAAGAATTAACGATTAAGTCTGGAATCAATGCAAATAATGAAAAGTATGAAATAAAAATTAAACGCTTTACTAGTTGGGAAATGCTTTTATACTATTGTGGTCGTACAAAATTTTTATATCAAAACTTAGATTTAAATTCAAAGTTAAAAGAACAAATATTCCTAGATCTAGTTTTTAAATTTAAAGTCCGTGTTTTTTTAAATTTATTAAAACATTTAACATATTCAGATTTCAATCATGAATATGTTAAAGGAATAATATATTCAATAGCAGATTTATCAGTAGTCCGAATTTTCAAAAAACCTCTAAATGAAAATCAACCTTTTTATCTTGAACTAAGTGATAGTAGTTATAGAATATTAACCAAAACTCCTTTTCGTAATCCCCTAGCGGAAAATTTTATTGGTGCTACCCATTTAATTTCTAATAATGATTTGGGCGATACAAAAATTGTCTGTTATAAATATAATACAAAAAAAATAAAAATAATTTTATTAAACTAATTGATAATTTTAAATTATATTTTATCAAAATTTGTTTTTATTTTTTTGTTTAAAAATATTTTTATTGTTTTTTATTTTTTTTTTTATTTTTTTTTTTATTTGATAAATATAGTTCTATTTTTTTATTTATTTTTTTTTCAAATTATTTTTTATATTTTTTATTTAATTGTGGATAATATGTATTTATATTTCATTTTCAAATATTTGGCCTTGAATAAAACATCTTATCCTTTTACATTACAATTCTGTTGCTGTATATTCACTATTTTGAGCATAAAGACACCAGCCACATCAAATTTTAATTTTGATTTTCTAACTCTGAGTTTGGGTTTGGTTCATTATTGAACTTTATAAAACCCAATCTCAATCTCAATCTCAAACACAACCTGATACATAAACACAAACACAAACTGTCTGTGAAGAAGATATGGTTGATAAAAGAAACCAAATTCGCTGAGTTATGAGTTTGAGTTTGAGTTTGAGTTTGAGCTTGAGTTTGATTTCAAGATTTTCGATAAAAGATGTTCAAGGAAAATGCCAAATATACTTGAATTTATCTCACAATTTCCATAAAATATTACCACCTTAATATTCACGGGGTAAAACATTGATCTTCATAAACTTTATACCATTTAACCAAGCTAAAAAAATTATTATTGTTGACTTTGATATTGTGACCTTGTATTATTATCATTGAAAATTATATGATCAATTGTAATTACCAGTAACTCTAATAATAAATATAAAATTTAAATTAGTGTTTAATTATAATTTAATGATTATTTTATTGATTGTTACTTTAACCTACTCTTTTCGTTATCATTTTTTGTCACATTTTCATTTTTTTGCATAAAATTGCTTAAATATTTCGTTTTTTTTTTTTTCAAATATTAGAATTTTGAAATTTCACACGAAATAATCTGCCACATACAAATTTTCGCAAAAAAAAATTAAAAAAATTAAAAAAAAAAAAAAAACTAAAAAAATTAAAAAAAAAATTAAAAAAATAAGATTTAAAACAAAATTTATTAATATGGATTTTAATATAGATAATTAATTTATTGATAAATTGATAAATTGATAAATTGATAAATTGATAAATTGATAAATTGATAAATTGATAAATTGATAAATTGATTAATTGATTTATTGATTTTTTTTTTTTTTTTTTTTTTTTTTTTTTTGTCACCTTCACTTTCATTTTCACTTTCATTTTCAATTTCACTTTCAATTTCACTTTTACTTTTATTTTTTTTTTTTTTCTTTTTTTTTTAAATATTTATTATTATCCATTCATTTGATCAAATATATTTATTTTTTAAAAAAATAAAAATGGTCAATTTAAATATTTTTCAATATAAAGAAAAAAAATTAACTTTGTTTGGTATGTTCGGAAACATATCTTTTTACCATTTGCTACCAATAGGATTAAAATAAGCAAACCATCGGCCAAAACAAACAAACCAACAATTAAATAAATATATCTTCCAAATTTTATTTAAATAATTTTAATTAAAATTTTTTTTTATTTATTTTTCAAATATATTTTTTTTTTTTTTTTTTTTTGCAAAAAAAAAAAACGGTAAATTTGGGGAAACTCTAATATTTTTTTTAATTTTTTTTTAAATTGGAAACCCATTTTTTTTTTCGCCATCCAAAAAAATTTGATTATCGTTTAATAAAAAAAAAAAAAATGAAATAATAAAATTTATTTGTTTTTTTTTATTTTATTTTTCTTTTTTATTGTTTTTTTAAATATTTTTTGATGTTATTATTTCTAATTTCTAAATTAAATTTCACCATACCATATGATGCCTTTTTAAAAAATTATTATATGGGTTCTTGTTAATAAAATTTTTTTAGCAAAATGAAAAATCAAAAAAAAAATTTTTTTTAAAAAAATCACCAGATCAAAAAGATATAATAAGATTATTATTAAAAATGATTAAAAAAAGAAAAATTCAGTGTTTAAAAAACTCCTGAAATCATTTCTCTTATTAATTTTAAAATAAATACACATTAAATAAAAATTGGTGTTTTTTTAAAAAAATTAAAACCATTGTAATAATTTTTTATATTAATTTTAAAAAATAAATACATTAAAATTATATGCAAAAAAATTCCCCTCTTTTTTATTTATATTGATAAAAAAACAGTTAGATTAAAATTACAATTGAGTATCATTATATGAACCACTCTTCCCAAATGGTTCAATATAAAGTAGGTGGAGGAAACCAATTATTAATTAATATTATTAAAAAAAAAAAATTGGTTTTTAAAACACCATAATTATTTTTAAAATTAATATTATAAATACATAGAAATTGGTGAGTGAAAAAAAAAATAAAAAACCCCAAAAGAATCCAATACTATCAATTATTATTATTGTTTTCGAATTGAAGCTGATTATCAATGAATTTAATGATTAGAAAGAGTTATTAATTTATAATTTAATAAATTTATTTATTTATTTATTTTTTTAATTTTTTTTTAATTTTTTTTTTAATTTTTTTTTAATTTTTTTATTTTATTAAATTCATTAATTTCAATTTAAAAAAAAAAGATTCTAGCAATGCATATGCAGTTTAGTTTAGTTTTTAGTAATCATATACCAGATAAAAGTTTTGACAATTATCGACTAATAGTTAGAGAATTAATTTATGGAAAAGAAATTTTATTTGATGAATATGTCTGGGTATAAATGAAATTTTTTTTCCACAAGATGATATTGATGACAATGAGATGGTGAGGAAGAATCTTTTGAAAATGAACAATTTAATTTAGATCTAAATTGTTTTATTCCAGATTTTACGCACACACCCAAGTAATATCAATTATAATAAAAATCAAATGGATATTAAAATTAAAAGCAATTCATAGAACTTTACATTATGAAGGATTTGGTACAGATGAAAAGAAAACAGATATGGATTTCATTTATAAAGATGTTAACAAAACAATTAAAGAGTTATGGGCACCAACTGCTTTAGAGTAAATCAAGTTGCTAATTCAATTATGTGAATCTAATGAAAGTGGTTATTTTGGTCAAATGAGAAATAACTTTCTAATTTTGAAGAAACTATAGTTTTCATTTTAAAAAAAATAAACAATGTAAAATGATAAAAAAAACTTCTAATTTATTTATTTAGTTTATTAAAAAATATTATAATTTTGATTTTGAAGCTGCTTCATTTTCTGATTTAATTTTGACACAAGCATTGTAAAGATAAAGGGGCTTGGATGTAATCTTACATTTGATTTTTTTACTCTTTCTCCAAGTAACAGAAAGCTGACTTAGACATGAAGAGCAACCTGGTTCTTTGTGAATTTCTATCTTTGGATGCTTTTTTGCTTTGGTTTTGTGAATGGAGCCATGATTCCCATCATTAATCACTTCTATGAAATCATATTGATGGAATTGTGAAAAAGCAAAATCCTTTGATCTTTTACTGGAATATTTTTTAACTGGGGAACATTCATCATCGCAATCCAACAAAATAGTCACCCCGGCTAGTTGTTGGTGCACAATCAAAAAAATGGTTATAAATACCTGGGTAAGCTGGGGGAATCATTGGAAGAGTGTTACTATTGATGGAGGAGTTGTAAACGGTGTTGAAGCTACCATCGGTGCGGAACTTCCATTGGTGTATATGTTGCCATTGGTGCTGGCGATGACATCGATGTATATGTTACCATTGGTGCGGATGTTACTCTTGGTGCTAGTGGTACCATTGGTGTTGGTGATACCATTGGTGTTGGTGATACCATAGGGCCTGGTGATACCATTGGTGCAGATGTTACTCTTGGTGCTGGTGATACCATTGGTTGAGGAGTTGTAAGCGGTTTTGAAGCTAGAATCAGTCCGGGTATTCCCATTAGTGTATATGTTACGATTGGTGCTGGTGATACCATAGGGCCTGGTGATACCATTGGTGCAGATGTTACGATTGGTGCTGGTGATACCATTGATGGAGGAGTTGTAAGCGGTTTTGAAGCTAGAATCAGTCCGGATGTTTCCATTGGTGTATATGTTGCCATTGGTGTTGAGTATGTTACGATTGGGGCAGGTAAAACCAAAGGGCCTGGTGATAGTATCATTGGTGCAGATGTTACTAGTGATGACATTGGTCCAGATGTTGCTGGTGATACCATTGGTGTGGCAGCTGGTGCAGATGATACCATTGATGTTGGAACTGATGTTGCACCTTGAATAGGGTGGTGATTATAGCCATTATATAAATTATATAAAAAATTATCATCACTATTTTTAGAACCATTCATAATGGCGTTTCTAAAACAAGATTTTTTGTAATAATGAAAAATTAAAGGATTTCCTAGACTAATACATGATGTACTAGAGGTGTAATTATAGTAATTATATACATAAACGACATTACTTTTAATTGGCGGGAGTTCATAGCCACAACCTTTGGGATCATCCGTACTGATGTTGTGTAGCGGATAATCGAAATTTGAATAACGATTATCTTTGCTTCCTTTTTCATAATAGTTGGTTTGGAATTTAATAATATGGTGAGCATTTCCTGGGAAACTATTACTCAAAACATAAGATAATGGTTCAACCTAAAAAATTATAATTTAAAAAAAAAAAAAAAATTAGTAATCTAAAACAAATTTATTATATATATTTATTTCTTACAGATTTTTTGTCATCATTTACGGTATTAATATAGGAGCTGTCCATTTTTTTTTTTTTTAGTTTAATTAAATGTTTTGATTTGATTTATAATGATGAAATAAAAAAAAAGTAATTATTATTTATAATTTTTTTAAAAATATTAAAGTAAAGAAAAATTATTATTTAATTATTTTTATTAAATTATTTTTACTTTTTGGGCCAATTATATATATGATAGGTGAATAAAAAAAAATTTCCAAACTTAATTTAATTATTGTTAATTTCTATTAGGATTTGGTAATAAATGTTTTTTTGAATATCACCATAGATATATTTTTGTTATTATTATTGTTATAGTGTTGTTTTATTATTTATTACTGCAATTACAACAAATTTTTTTTATTGTCAACAATCAAAGGGTTGATAAATGTGCTTATAACTGTGGTATGTGCTATATGAAGGGGTAAAAATATAATTGTTTATATATTATTTATTGGTTTTATTATTAATTTTTTTTTATTTATTTATTTATTTATTTATTATTTTTGAATGATAAAGTATAGCAAATATATCATTTATGCATATTTATTTTATTGGTTCTTGTTTTTCTTGTTTGGTGTGTGAAAAAAAAAAAAATAAAAAATAATATTTACATATATTTTTATCCAAATTTTGAGTTAATTTTTTTATTTACAAATTTAGAAAAATTTAACGGAGTTTATTTTCTATTACATTATTCGCAATGTATGAGGCCATTATTGAATATTTGCAACTTATGACTGTAATGGGAGTGATTTAATTTAAATACAATAGAGCGATAATATTTTGTAAAAAAAAAATTAAAAAATTAAAAAAAATAAAAAATTGATGCATTTTTTTTGAAAAAAATAAGTTTTTTTATTTATTATTATTTAATATTTATTTAATATTTAATATTTTTTATTTTTGTTGAATAAATAATTAATTTACAATAATATTATTTTGCATATTAAAAAAAAAGTTTTTTGTAATTATATTTATATTTTTAGTAATGTGTTTGTGTGGTAATTGTTGAGTTCAATCGAAAATAAAAATAAAAAAAACTGGTGTGTAGGTGTGTTAAAGTGTTTATTGTGTGTTAATCAAAAATACACTACCTCCAATATCACATCCCCAAAAAAAAATTTAAAAATTAAAATTTTTTTTTTTTTGAGCTTTTGTGTGTTATAAAAAATTTATATTATCAACATCAATATTATTATTATCATCAACAATATAATTTTTTTATTAGTTTATTATAAAGAGTTATATTATAATATTTTTATCTATCAATGATATATTTTTAAATAAATTTAATTTTATATAAATTATAGTTTTTTTTTATTTATAAAGTTTTCAAAAAATAGTTTTTTAATTTTTACAGTATATGCGGAGGTTAATGTTTGTACAATTACTCCTTCTACTTTGTCTATTCTTAGACTTGAACATAAAAATGAGAATAACAGCAGAAGACCACAATCCATTCGGTCAGGGAGTGATTCATATTATGATTCTATAATAAATATTTCAATTAAATGAAATGCATCTTGACATACCCTAACTATGTCTTGTGATGGGTCATGAAACATCTTTTTTGATAGCCGTTCTTTAACAATTGACCAAAGATTTTCAGTTGTATTTATATATGGGCCATAATGGTCAACTTGAATCTCTTGTAAATATTGTTTCACTATCTTTGCTGTATGCGAACTACAGTTATCATGTGAATTGATTGGTATCCTTTCAGGCACTTTATTTTTATCAGCATAGTATTCTTAAGTTAATTGTGTATCGTTTTGTATATATTCAAGAGAGAGTTTAGAATCTTATCGGCTGGGTAAATGAAATAGAGCTTGAACTATCATAAACAATGTTTCCCCTAAACATTGCATTAACCCACCCCTTCTAACACTTGTCTTGAATAAGATTCTTGAATGTGTATTTTTTTATGAAAGAAATTATTTTTAAATATATTATTTTTTATTGAATTTTTTTTAAAAAAAAAGATTTTAATTATTTGATGAACATTTCCGTTCATTATTAATAATAAAAGTCATTATTACTCTTTCTTTCGCCTGTAAAATATTTATCAAAATGACCATCATTGAAAAAAAAAGATAAAGAATAAAAATGATAATCTTACAAAATACAGACGATAAATCAAATTATGAAATTTAAGTTGATGATGTAAGCAGCAAACTATTTATGTAGCTGATCACGACATTAGCTACTGTTATAACAATATAAAACTACCAAAAGTTTCAATATTAGAGTTATGTGATTACAAAATTCCAAAGCCACCAAAACCATCATCTTCTGAACCGTACCAATCAAAATGAAACAAAAAAAAAAAAAAGAGTGTAAATATATAAAAATACCTATTTTTTATTTATAAAATTACTAAAAATACATTATCTACAGAGTAAAAAAATAAACAAACTCATTCAAATAAGTGGTGCTTGCAAATTGCTATCTCTATTATTTTAAAAAAATTTAAATCATTTCTTTATTAAATAAAATAAAAATAAAATATAAAATTAAATTATTTTAGTTTAATTATATTTAATTTATAGTTGCTTTTTAATTTTAATTTTTTATTTAGTATTGTTTGCATTTTAAAAGTAATATTGGAATTAATATGAAAATATAAAAGATTTATTTTTTTTATTAAAAAAATATGTTTTTTATTGCTTGGGGCCCTAAGCCTTGTATTACTTGATCAAACCAATCCACTGTCATTAATGCGTCATCAACATGAGGGACAATGTGGCTGTACATGAGATATTCATACTCTGTTTTGCCTGGTGAAATAAACTCCAGAATATTTTTATATTGAGTATGGCAATAATCGCATAAAAAATAATAGCTATGAAAAAGAATTAAAAAAAAATTAATAGTCTATTTAAATAGTTTTTATTTTTAAAAAGAATACTTACACAGGTCCTCTTCTCCATTTACATGATTTATTTGTTCCTTCACATCTTCTACTATTTTATTTTCTATTGTTAGTAATAAATTTTTTAAAATAATTTTTTTATAATGAAAATATACATACCAAAATTTTGGCACTGTTTCAGGTAGTTTATGTTCTTTTTTCTTTAGTGAACTATCAATTGGAATATATCTTCTTTTTATTTTATTAACTTTTACTGGTTTTTTTTTTTTGGTATTTGATGATTCCATATTTGTTGTTTGAATATATGTATTTTAAAAGATATGAAACAGTTTTTATATCTTTTTTTTTTTGAGAAAAAATTAAAAATAATTATAAATCCAAATATAATTTAAAAAAATAATAATATTTATGTAATCTTTAATTATAGTTTTTTATTTTATTATTTTTTTAGATTTGATTTAAATTGGTAACTATAATTTAGTATTATTGTTATATTAATTATATTATTGAATATGATATAATTTTGATATACCAGTTTATATGATTATGGTTGAACATTCATTGAGGGGAGTATTTGTGTGTTTGAGTGTTTATTTTTTTAAGTTGTTTTTTTTTTAAGTTGTTTTTTTTTTAAGTTGTTTTTTTTAAGTTGTTTTTTTTTTTTTTTAAGTTGTTTTTTTTTTCTTACTTGTGATTGTATTTTTTTTTACTTGTGATTCTATTTTTAGTTTCTGTTTATTTTTGCTTAATGTTGTTATGAGTGGGTGAAAAGGGGTGAGTAAAAATATTTTTTGTGTTTAGATAGTTATTACTTTGTGAAAAATTTAATCACATCAACACACCACCTAATATAATAACAATATTAATATTAAAAAAAAACAAAAAAAATAAATTTAAATTATAATAAAAAATAATATGCAAATACCACTTTCCTAATTTGTTTATGATGAAACAATTTCGTACATATAAAAAAGTTAGATTTATTATTCCTTTAATATTTTTTTTATCTACATATCAAAAACATAACACTTAAATTTACAATGTTGGAATAATTATAATGTAAACTAAAAACATAATGTTCCATACACAAAAAAACAAATATATAAAAACAAATATATAAAAACAAAAGCAATAATCTAAGAATACTATTGTTTTAAATTATAACAAAAATTAATGTTTGGATTATTTAAAGCTTATTCTATTTTTATCTTTATTTTTTCTTTTCTTTATTATCATCTTTGTTTTTTGAGACAAAATAATATTGTGAACACAATATAAAAAAATATATTGTTATTTTTGATTTTAAAACTATTTTTTTTTTTTATATTTTTTTTTTTTAAATTATAATTAAATTTGTTATTGCTTCATTATAACATCAAATTGATAATAAATAGTATAGACAAATGTGTGATGTTCTGTGTGTGAGTTTGTTGATGTTTGTGTGTTTGAAAAAAATTTTGTTTTTTTTTGGCACGCCGCTATATAACCACTAGTGCCCATTATTTATTTTTTAATTGGTTGGGTGTGAATGATTTGTTGAAATTATAAAAATATACAATAATAATAAAAAAACATATCGGAAAGATAAAAAAATGACAACATTATGATAACTACAATTAAAACAACAAATACAAAACATAAAAAAATAAACTGTGAGCGTTACTTATATTACTAACGTAATTAGATTTACATACTATTTTCTTTATACAAACTAACTGTTAATAAGTATAAACAAAATTTGATAAACTTTTTACATATTTTTTATTTATAAAACTATTTTATTGTTTTGAAAAAAATGTAAAAAATATAAAAAAAAAATATTTAATTTAAAATTTTTTTAATTTTTTTCATTTTTTTTATTTTTTTTATTTTTTTTTTATTGCAACGTTATAATTGGTTTAACCTTCTGTGTTTTTGAATAAAATAAAAAAGAAGCATTTTTGGCAATTTTTAGTATAAATAACACTTAGATCCTGTTAGTCCAGCAGTAATAACATCCATCACCGGCATTGATCAACGTGCAAACTCGACTGTGGAATAATGGGAAAATCATATGTTAATGGATGAAGCCTGATATTGATAACTACCATGATAAAAGATCTATGACTCTAATCTTTTACTAGATTCATATATTAAAACAAATTAGAAAAGGGGGAAACATTGTCTATAATAGTAACTTCCGGAGGGTTTATATTCTAATTTCTAAATTGATATTCTAAAAAATGATACACTTTATATATATTTATAAAATGCAAGAACTTTAGTAGCCTTTCAAAACTGTATATTGCAACTGTTACAAAAAAATAATCACTGTTGGGTGAATAAATAAAAAATTATAGTATATTTAAACAGTTAATATTTTTTTAAAATGGTTAAATACCTTGCCTTTTCTCCATTCGCATGTGTGATCTATTTTACATCTAAGACTAATTATTATCTATTGTTAATATTATATTATACATACCAAAATCTTTATTCTGCTTCACGTGTTCTATCAACTTTTTTTTGTTGTTCCCATTAGTTTTTGTTTTTTGGTTTTTGAAATATAATGAAAACAATTACAGTGTGAATTGAAAAAATTACACAAAATTAAAACATAAAAACAAACAAATAAATTATAAGAATACTATTTGTTTAAATACTGTATGATCATATTATTTTGATCTCTAAAATATCATTTCTATGTTAATTATTGCTATTTTGGTTTATTTTATTTAAAAAGTAATTAGAAATTCCTGACGACTTCTCAAAGTGATAAAGTATCTTTACAAGAAAACCATAACAAAATGATTAAATATTTAGGTATTTATTAATCTATATATAAATAAAAAGTTATTTAAAAAATTGAAAAAAATTAATTTTCCTTTTTTTTTTTTTTTTTTTTTTTTTTTTTTTTTTTTTTACTCCAAAACCAAACCAAATTTTAATATAAATACAAAATATTAATAATACTTTATATATTTATTTATTTGAAACCATTTTCTAACACCAGTATTCATATTATTTGGTGTCCATTATGTTTCAAATCCCTTCAAAGAATTTAAATTAAATAAATAAATAACAATGGATAAATTAAATTATTCAACTTTAAAGAAATTATGTTTAGGTTTAGGAGTTTCAAGATCAAGTAGTAATAGGAGAATGGTTATATCAATTTGTGGTATAGATCCATTATCTCATTCAACCAACCCAAATTCGTACTCATTATTTTATTATTATTTATTTATCTAGAAGTCCTGTATTTTAACTATTCACCATCTTTTTAAAGGGCAATCATATATATATAAATACTTTCTACATTCTCATATTTATATAATTGATAAAATATTTTAAATAAAGATATTACAAACAAAACATTGTCTTTTCTTATTTTTTTTTTTTTAAATTTTATATATTTTTTTTTTAAATTTATAATTTATATTCATCTTTATATAATAAATAATTATAAATTAAATCATATTTCTCATGTATAATAAAAATAATAAATGAAATATTTACAAGCAATAAAAGATTTGATTATTATTTTTTCTATTTTTTTAATTTTATTTTTTTTAAATTGATCAAAACACACCTGATACACAAATTAACACAACAAATAATTTCCTACAAAACCATATAAATTATGAAACAAAAATAAAAAATAATATATTTACAAATATAAAATGTTATACATATGAAAAAAAGCGAAAAAATGAAATTTTGGAATTTGATTTTTAAAAATTTGGATTTTTATAGATAAATACTATAAATAAAAAAAGAAATTTTATTGAATTAATTTAATAATTTTTGGATGCTATGCTGCTCCCTAGAGATTATCCCTATTTTTCTTTGTTTTGCATTGTGGAGCCCACATGCATTGCACATGGGTACTTTGGTAGATGTACCCTTCAAATCTAACCATCCATTTCTCCACTCTGGAGTAGCTCTAACTCTGCAAACATGGCAGGCCTCTGGCTTTTCTTTGGGTGGTCTGCCCTTCTTTCTTTTTTCTACAACTATAATATTTGTAGCTGGCTCCTCTTTTACTACAACCTTTCTATTTGTTGCCCTTCTTTTATATTTACCACGTGCCATTTTTCTGATTAAATTTATTAAAAAAAAAAAAAAATTAGTAAATGGGAAAATAATTAAATATAAAGAATACAGTACTAAAATTATACCTATTTAAAATATGAAAAATTATTTGATTAATATATGAATTGAATAACTTTAATAATAAAATTGAAATTGATCAAATTGCTATCTAAATAATAAAATTTAAAGAAATAAAAAAAAAAAAAAAAAAAAATTAATAAAAACAATTTTGGGCAATTCTCGAATATTAAAGATGGATATAAAAAAAATCCAAAAATTGCTTTAATTATCATAATAATAAAAAATTGGTTATTGTTGTATCTTGTTTTTATTTCTTTTTAAATTAAATTCATCTAAAAAATAAACAGCAATATCGGAATGTTTCTGAGTGATAAATATCCGCTGACCCATTATATTGCCCTTTATATTTAATAAAATTACAAAAAAAAAAAAATCAAAATGATTCACATAATTCACTTCAAAAAAAAAAAAAAATATTCA